TCGCGCTGGTGGTTAAAGGGAAACATATAGACAAGATACAATCAACATGCAACGATGCGGTCGCTATGGTAAGAAGCTGGATCACAAGTGTAGGCCTCAAACTTGCTGATCATAAAACTGAAGTCCTTCTTGTAAGCAGCAGGAAAAAGATTGAGTACATTACAATAACTGTTGGCAATGAGCGAGTCACATCAAAACAAGCAATCAAGTATCTTGGAGTAATGATTGACAATAGACTCACCTTCAAAGAGCATTTACGATATGTTGCTGCAAAATGTGCGAAAACAACGTGTGCACTATCGCGAATAATGCCCAATATAGGTGGACCTAGACAACAGAAGAAGCAGTTACTCACAAATGTAGTTAAGTCTATTGCTATATATGCGGCTCCCATATGGGCAGATGCAATGAATAAAAAGACGTACAGATCAGGAGTAGACGCAGCCTACAGAAGATGCGCTCTCAGAGTTGTTTCCGCATTCCGTACAGTATCTACTGACGCGGCCATGGTTATTGCCGGAATGATGCCATTACAGCAGGAAGCAGAAATTGAAAAGGAAAAGCATGTAGCGAAAAGAATTGGGGTTACAAACTTCAATCAGCTCAATGAAGAAGCATTGAATAAGTGGCAACAGAGTTGGGATATATCCACTAAAGGAAGATGGACGCATAGGCTCATTCCGAAGATAAGTGATTGGACCAACAGAAAGCATGGGCAGGTGAACTACTACCTAACCCAGATGTTAACTGGACACGGCTGCTTCAGAGCATATCTTTTTAAGTTCAAACATGACGAAGACGACACGTGCCCAGCTTGTCCATATACAAAAGAACGGTGGAACATGTGTTCTTTGATTGCCCGAGATATGAGAGCCACCGCAGCTCCTTGGCAAGAGCAATCAGAGAGCAGGTCACACCTGATAACATCATCCAACTGATGTTAAAGTCAACAGAAATCTGGAACCTGGTGTGTATTTTTGCGAAAGAAATCACAGAAGAACAGAGAGCAGCAGAGAGAACTAGAAGAGCAGTAAGAGATGACAGCAATCGCTGAATCACCACCCTCCGAAGTAATGCTTAAAAGTGGTTCCGGAGGGATTAATGGTTAGAAGAGACACGGTGTTAGGATGAGGTTTAGTACGTAGGCGCAAATACCAAGCAAAAGAGTAAGTCTTGGTTGCGAATCGTGCATGCTGGTAGTACGGGCTACCAGTATCTTTTGAAGATTCCACATCCCTTAGCTCGTATAGCTTAAAAAAAAAAAAAAAAAACCAAGGGTGGAAAAAAATTACAGGAATCTTCACAATTTTGTTTGAAATAGAAAATATTATTTTGTTGCAAATTTTGAAAAAATTGATATTTGCGTTCGTTGGGATTGTAACTTATTATTAAAAATTGCATAAATTAACAAATATTTAAAATAATTATTTTTGTTAAGTAATGTTAACTAAAAATTATAACTGTCTTAAACTTATTTGTATTTTAACTTAAAATATTAGTTTTTTGTATATTACTTTGTGCATTTTTAAATGCAAATATAGTAAGTGAACTTAAAGTATTTGTTTGGAAAGTTTTGCACTAGTTTAAAAGAAATAAAAACATATTTCAGGAAGATTTTTTTATGCCCAAAAAATATGTATTTACATAGGTAGAGTATCTAACTTTTATTAAAAAACACGAAAGATTAGGAAAATATTTTTTTTGAACAGGTAGCAGGTATAAGTATTGGTGTATTTGTTTAAAGAAATTTGCAACAGTTTAAAAAAGATAATACGGGAGGGCCACAAATAGATATTTTTCTTCTCCAGAAATATGTATTCACATAGGTAGAGTATCTAACATTCATTAAAAAACGCGAAAGATTAGGAAAATATTTTCTTGAACAGGTAGCAGGATTTTAGCGCCCTTTCTACTGTGCTAAGTAAGCAGAGATATAATTTAAGTGAAAAAAATATTTCAGCAATGTTATTAATAAGATTGTATGAAAATTTATTTCAAAACATATGTAATAAAAATTATATATTTTTAATAAGAAATTAAGATATTAAATTATTAAATTATTTCAATAACTTCGTTAAATTTAAGCTGTAATTAAAGATAAAAAATTAAGTGAAATCTATTAACAAAATTAATTTATGTTGTTGTAAAAAATATTTAATTTGCTTTTTATAACCTTACTAACGAATCTTAGTGTATAACTTACTATTAAATAAAATTTTATGAAGTAGTCCAAAATTGATATATTTAATTTTTTCAAAGTACGATCCGTAGAACCGATCCTCTTTACTTATAACATTTTGAAACAAATACTCTTTCTCTATTAAATTCATATACCTATTTAACTCATATATCATAAACTATTTATATTTTATATTATAACAAAGTTTTCAAGTACATTGTGAAATTAACTTTATTCCCATGTTTTAAATTAATAAACCTTAAAATAATAAGTACTATAAGCAATAAATGTAAATCTAATAATAAATTCAAAATTAAAATATAAATACAAAATCATTTCTTCAATAAAATATTTCGCATTAAGACCAAAATTAATACAAATCAGTTTTCCGTACTATTTTGCTGCGATATTTGTCATAATCATTTCACACAAATGTGCAGTAGACATTTCGTCTCCGCACATTTGGGTGCATTTTTATTTTCGAGTCTGCACACAAAATGTGCTCCTCGTATTCTTTTCTGCACACGTTGTGTGCGAAGGTAAGCTGGCTGCCTCACACACAATGTGCTGTGCGAAATAACTTCGGCACAAACAACGTTTGCGTGTGCGAGTTTTATTTAACTCCACCACATTCGTGTGAAATGTGCGTTTTGTTTGTGTACACAAGATGTGGCACTTAAGATGTGCACAAAAATTTTCGCACACCACATTTGTGGTGTGAAATTTTATTTAGAATCGCACAACATTTGTGCGTGGTGTTTTGCATTTTTGTGCACAGCACAGTGTTTTTCTGAACCCTGTTTTTTATTCGTGTAGATAACATGAACCGTTTTGCTTGTATTTATTTGAACTCCTCATTTGTCGAACCATTCAAGCGTTTAAGTAATTCTGCAAGTTTTCTGTTTGTTAAAAGTTTGTTAAAATTTATATTAGCTGCAATTAGTGCTGAAACGTCTGCAAAAGTTGCTATCAAACTTTGAGGATCAGAAGGTATCGGGACATCAGCCGTGTATAGCAAGTAGAGTAATGGACCCAATAGGCTTCCTTGGGGCACACCAACTTTCATTCATAAAAGTATCTATTTTGTAACTAACGCTGTCGAAAGCCTTTGCGACATCAAGGTATATCGCCGAGGAAAATTGTTTTGTGTCAATATCACTTGTTATTTTATTAACAACTCTGTGAACTTGTTGTATAGTCGAATACTTTTTCCGAAAGCTGAATTGATGATCAGGTATAAGTTTTTCTTTGAGGACAATCGGTTCTAGTATTGATAAAATTATTTTTTCAAACAATTTTGACATAACTGGTAATAGACTAATTGGTCTGTATGATTTTGCTATAGTTATGTCTTTATTTGGGTTGGGTATAGTTATTACGTCTGCTACTTTCCATACTTTTGGAAAATATTTAAGGTGAAGAGCGCAATTAAACACATTTCTCATATATACAAGTTTTTGTTGAGGCAGCTCAGTCAGAATCTTTCCTGTAATATTATCATATCCCGGTGATTTTTTTGCTTTAATTTTATTTTTAATAATATTTTTAATCTCTGTTATTGAGACTTTCTTTATTATAACATTTCGAGTAGAGCTGCTCTGTGCTACGTTGCCATTTTGCTGTTTTGGATTACTGAACGTAGCTTTGAAGTAGGTGGCAATTTAAGTGAATCAAATTTATTTAGATAAATAAAATTATTTAACTAAAGAAAAAAAAATTTTAGTAATAATTTAGTAAAATTATTTAAATAAACAAAATTTAACTTTTAGTTTAAATAATTCTTAGTAACTTGCGTGAAGTAGTAATGCTAGGGTATGTGGCGGATATGGCAGCCACAGAACACGAATAGGACGATGGCAAGGCTTTAACATCACGTGTAACAGTGGTATAAAAGCATACAAGTAAGCATCGTTCTCTTTGGCATTCGGGCCGTCAATCGACAACCACGCAAAAGGTGAAGGTATTAGGGCACTCCACGCAAATACCCTTATCCAAATAGCTGACATCGCAAAGAAGCCTCTAGTCTCTGACAAATACACAACATTAAAAAAAGAATTCATCCGACGCTTTGGTGAATCAAAGCAAAAACAACTTATCAAACTGCTTACAATCTTAGAACTGTCAGACAAGCGACCGTCGCAATTGCTTTGTGACATGCGCAATCTAGCTAGTACCAACATCTCTGAAGGTGCACTTACAACTCTTTGGTCACAACGCTTGCTTAGCAACATTAGATGCATTATGTCCGAATCAGCTGACCGCATCATGGACAACCTACCAACTCCATAATTCGTAATGGCTACAACTTCAACAACTGGCACTCATTTAAATCAATCGTCATCGCCGTTAGAATCGCGAGTACTGTCATTAGAAACAGCAGTACAGTAGATTACATGCAGTTTGGGTGAGTAAACGATGCAATTAAAATCTAGCAATCGTATTAGAAGTTCGGACCGTCGTCACGAGAGGAGAAATCGCAGACAGTGAATTCAGTAAACCAGCTGGAAATCACAGCGCAACCCTTACAGCGGAAAACTAAAAATATTATTGCGGCATGCGATAACTCACCTCCCAACTGCATAATCGAGATCCATCTCAACGTCTTTGACCGACTAAACAAATTGAACTCCCTAATCGACACAGGTTCGGTTGTTTCAGTTGTGCCAGTAAGTCTCGTCAATAAAAGGCCAGATCCAATTACAAGTGAAGACGACAATTTATTCGCGGTGAACAATACAGCAATAAACACATTTGGAATCAAAAGTTTGAAACTTGACCTAGGTCTTCGCAGTGATTTTTGTTGAAGCTTCATCATAGTCGACGTAAAATCATCCATCACAGATTATACATAAAGAAAAAATAGTTAATTGATTCGCTGACAACGATAAATATGACCATCTTGTCGTCAGTCCAGTCCCGTTCATCTAGTGAAAAAGAAAACGGGCGGTTGGAGAACGGGTGGAGACTTTCGCAGGCTAAATTCACATATTAAACTAGGCAAATACCCAATACCGTTCTTGGGTCAAATTTCTGAAAGAGCTACGCTCAACACAGCGTGCCACAATAAACCAAAGGCTTTAGAAGATATCTGTGAAGACAAGTTACAAGAAGCACATCTGGGCGTTAATATTTCCAAATGCAAGTTCGTTATCGATGAATTGTAGATCTTAGGTTATTATTTGTCAGCGAGCTGAGCAAGTGGAAGCCATTCAAAATTATGTCCGACCTAAGAGAGTACATGAAATTATCAATTCTTTGGAGCTGTCAATTATTATCGAAAGTACATTCCTCGAGTATGTAAGGCAAGCATATCAACGTTAACGCAACTAGTTTTTTTGTCACCAACAGCACCTCTTCTTCTGCATTGGATCAGTTTTGGAGTAGTGAGTCAATTACCAGTGGGAACCATTGGCGTTCTTCTCCACCAAGCTTAAATTGGCAGAAGGAATTACAATACTTATGACAGAGAACTCCTAGAAGTTTACGCATCCGTTTGATATTTTCGTCATCTGCTTGAAGGGCGTTATTTGGTCATTCGCAGTGATCATAAGCCATTGACGTTCGCTTTTCAGCAGAAAGCCAACAAGGTATCTCCTCGCCATTTATGCCATCTAAACTATATATCAGGATCGTACATGTGTCAGATGAAGATAATATAGTAGCAGACACACTCTCACGCATTAATTCAATAGCTGTGCCAGAAGCATGCAGTCTAGAGTGAATAAGCGAGCACCAAGAAAATCATGAAGAACTAAAACAAACGAACACAAAATTATAATTGAAGAAATCACATTTACAATCAAACTTGAAAACATACTGTGATGTTACGGTAGGCCAGTTAAGACCATTTATACTCAAATCATTTCGCAAATAGGAACTCAATTAAGTGCATTCTTCGGCACATCCAGGTTCCAGATCCACAGGTCGACAACTCGGATCAAAATAAGTTTGGCCATCAATGCATAAGGGCATAAACACTTGGTTGTCTAGGTTGTCAGCAATCCAAAGTCAATAGGTACAATAGAATAAAGCCCAAAGAATTTGTAAAAACCGATCAGGCATTCGATCATGTTTACGTGGATTTATTTACATTACCAGAGTGTCAGCATTATAGATAAGTGTTAACTATGATGAACAGGTTTAAGCGATGGCTAGACAGGTTAAAAAACATGACCTCAGACACATTAGCTATCAATTTCTACGCAGCCTGGGTATCACGAATTGGTGCACCGAAGGTTATAACAACAGACCGTGGAACACAATTCGAAACAGAATTGTTCAGAGCTGTGACTGACCTGTTAGGAACCACGCGAATCTGCCCTACGCCTTATCATGCAATACTGAATGGCATAGCAGAGAGGATCCATCGTACGCTAAAAACAGCGGTAATGGCAAGGCCGAAAAATGCATAGCTTCAATTACTCCCATCAGTTCTTTTAAGGCTACGAAGACATAGGAGCAATTTTTCGAACATAATTCCCAACCAACTCCTACAACGCCTCCTAATTCATGAAACTTCTTAAACAAATTTCGTGAATATTTGCTTGAGGTAGGACCAACGGTAGCAACACATCATAGCAACACGCCAATTTTCATACACAAACCACTCGACAATTACTCACACGTTTTCATACGTTCAGGCTACATCAAAAAGGCGCTACAATTACTATATACAGGAACGTATAAAGTTTTGAACAAAATAAGTGAACGAATATTCACAATTGAAGTATGTGACAAAAAATTGAAAGTATTATTCGAAATTTTAAAACCCGCATTCCTGGAGAATACAGATATTCTAGCAGTACCGAAGTAAATTTTATTAATCGATCCTAAACCAAAGCATAACACACTACCAGTTAAAAGGACGAAGAAAAACGTCACTTTCGTTAGAGAAGACCCGTTTTAATTAAGCAACAGTTTATTATAGTCAGACGGCAGAAACGAAAAGAAGATCACACTCACAAATAGCCTTCATCACAGTCCTCCGGCAATCTTCTACGACGGGAGTACTGTGGCGGATATGGCACCCACAGAACACGAAAAGTACGATGGCAATGCTTTAATATCACGTCCGATAAGAGTATAAAAGCACACAAGTAAGCATCCTTCTCTATGGCATTCGAGCCATTAACCCATAATCACGCAAAAAGTGAAGCTATAATGGTATTAGCCCCACAGGTACTTTTTATTTTTTCAATTTTATTAAATAATAATTATATTTAAGAAGTTCATTTATGGGAACATACAATTATTGAAGTATGCTGTAGACGAGCGTGATAGGAAATGATTCCAGATAAGTATTTATATTTATTTTTTTTGACGGTGTTAAAGCATTTTACTTCGTTACAACACATACCTGAAATCAATTAAAGTTAATAAAACTTCTGAATATTATCCTTTATAGTTATAATAATCAATTTTTAAAATTTCGCAGCATGTAATTTTTAACATTCGATTTGTGAACAAAAACATTATCTTTGCATTAAGGCCGTGTGCAAGTTCGAGTAAATTGAGGTAAAGTAAATTGAAATTTCCTTGGAATTTTTTACGCTGCACTTATGTAAATATTTATTTATTTATTTATTGCACTTATTATTTCTGGTCAAAAGTTTTTAAATATATTTATTTATTTATTAAACATCTTATCAAATTTTCACAAAGGTAACATCTAATTTACCCAGTTTTCATCTAATTTACCCTACTCGAAATTTTGGTAAATTCCAACATTTGCGCCATGCTGACATAATTTACTATTTCTCCAATTTACTAATAATTTACTCGAACTCGCATACGGCCTAAGTACAAATATCCGTTAATGATCACTTTCCTTTCCTGATGGTGTTCTTTGGTTTAAACTATCAACACAGTACGTATAAAAATAATTTGGCGGTGTTCTTAAATTCGACAGGTGGTGGTTTTTTATATAAACGGTTTGATCTTTTAATTGTTCGGTACGTTAAATTCGGAAAATAAGGACAAATTTGAAGAAAAAAATGTCTTTTAAACGCAAGAGAGGAAATGTAGATGACGGACACTTTGTTGGAAATGAATATTCTTCAACCAGTACCTATGCTTTAATACCAAAAATATTGGAATGTGAGCGTCCAAAGGAACAAACCAAACAAAATTGTAATCCATTTATGGCAGATATTTTGGAAGTCAAATCTATACCAAATGTAACAGAAAATAATAGTATTAAGGAAGATAAAGTATCTGACCAAAAGAGAAACCCGTTTGAGGTAATTCGTGATCCACCAAAGAAGAAAAAGCGTGTCTCAAAAATAAGTGGGGCGTGTTTTGAAAATCGTGCTTTGAATTTGAATGTGCCAGAAAAACAATTTAATCCTTTTGAGGTAAACTATAGAACATTATGTATTTATTTTTTTATCATAAATTTTTACAAAAGGTTCGCCGGGAAAATTTTCAAGCTTCGTCAGATTTAAGGCAGTCACACTATTATGTGAATGAAGCGTTAAATATACGTTCTCAAGATAATAATTCCATTTATAATCCTTTTGAAGTTGAACGTTGTTTCCAGAAACAGAATGAATCGAATGGAATCGAAAATCTGGGTTTAGTTGACCAAAACTCAGATTTTCTTACAATAAAGCTGCCTTTCCAACCTACAGTTGGTTGTAGAATTGATTTTAAAAATATTTCAATATCTGAGCTAACGCCAAGTAAATTGCTAGCAGAAAAACTAGTGTTTTCGCCACTTAATTCAGTTCATAAACAGTCGATAGGTTTAGTAAATGAAGAAGCTGCTCTAGACATTGGAAAAGAGTTAGATCGCTACCAACTTGAATTAGAGAACAGTATAAATGAAGCAAAATTACGTAAAAATACAAAAATAGTGGAATCAATTCAACATTCGTTAATCCTACCAGATAGACAAAATATTTTTAGCCAAGTATTAGAAAATGTTACTGAGGTGGATAACCTAGATGGAACGATAACTAATTTACAAAATAAAAATGTATCGGATCAAAATATCGTAACTGTTGTAAAAAATACAGAAACTAGTGTTAAATTAGTAATGGAATCACCACAGAACCAGGAAGTTGCAGATGTCTCATACGAATCAGAATCAGATGAAACAAATTTTAAGTTGCCTATTTTTGTACGTGCATATCGTAGAATACCATCTCAAAAATCTGTTATTATTGATAATCCTTCAGATGATAATGGCAGTGTTAAAACTGAAGATAATATGCAAACAAGTGTAAAGAGTTTTCTACGTAATTCTGTACGTAAACTTATTCATAGTAAAAATAAAGTCGATGATCAAG